GTCATGCCATTGATGCCAATGAAGCCGCCGATGGCATCCTGATGATTCAGCGGATGATGGCGATGCGAGTTGAACGAATCGTTTGTATCGAGCGAACCGTCAGAGGACAACGTGACCTTTAAGCCATCGCCCAGCTCATCGTCCTCCACCTGACGCTGCAGCTTGCCATCGGCCATGACATCCTCCTGGTCGGAGCCGTCGCTTTTCGACGAATGCGAATCTTCCAGATCATCGTTGGGTATTAGACTAGTTAACAAGGGAAATTTGAGAAATTTTGAGATTAGTTAGGAATTAGGAAATATAAAGGAGAATGATGAATAATGAAAGTATCAAGGCAGTGAATGCTTGATTGATTGGTAGATGGATTGATTGATAAAACAATACATAAATAATTTTCATTATTTTAGAATGATTGATTCTGTTATTTGTTGACTTAGTTAATAAATATTCGATTTATATTTGATAGATTAGCAGTCTGATTGATACATAAATAATTTTCATTATTGTAGAATAAGTGACTAATTGGCTGGTTGATTGATGATTATATATATTTTATATGGCAAGCTTATGGATTGATTCTGTATTAGTTGACTGATTTACTTAATATTTGATTTATTGATATAAGATAGATTTTCAGTCTGATTGACTTTTGCTTGGCTGATTCACCATTTCACCATCTGCCTTCTTTTCAAGGATCTATGCAAACTGGTGTAGTAATTAGGGATACATTTGTTGCCCAAGGTAAAGCCGGACAGCTGTTAGTACCCTATATATATCCCATACACTGAATCTCTAGTCTATACTGCGCTGCATTGGAATCTTGTGAAGTACAGCAGCTAAATCCCAGCATCCTTGAGCTCAGCTGTTGCCCGACGCACTGTCTGCCCGTCCGGGGCTAATCTGCACCGAGTCTGGCCCCCCCACCGAGTAGAGTTATTTGGAACACGTGTTCGCCCACTCAGTCGATTGATTTTTCAAGTGTGTGTGTGTGTGTGTGTTTTTTACACCAATTTACTTACGAGTAAAATGCATGTGTGGTGTTCTTTTTGCCAAATGGGGCGCTGATTGCATGTGGCTCAAAGATGGGCCTATGGAATTCCTCAAATTCGCTGTCGGCCATGGCTCTGTTAAGTGGGCGCAGCTGCCACGCCTACCAGCTAGAGGCTAACTAACTTGGGCTTAACTTTTCACTAGATCTGTATATTTATCGATTGCAATTGCCTTCAAGATTTGCAGCTATCCGACATATCCGCAGGCAGCCGAAACACTTTTTCACTTCACAAACTTAAAATAATCAATAATTTCCTTGACGTCGCGTATTTCTTCTCGTACTTCAGGGCAGTTTGACGTCCACTTCGCAGCTAAACTCTTCCCTGGGACATTTCTGTGCGAAGCCTCAGCTGTCAGGAGCATGCTCCATTGCGCTCATAATTTCCCATACGCATTCGCTCTCTCTTGCTTTCTCTCCCTCTCTCACGCTCTTTTGCTGTAAGCATTCGTAACTTGTTTTTGTTTACAAGCAGCCAAGCCATTCTGGAGCTGCATTTTGGGGGTTGCGAAAGCACGCGCATGCGCATATTGTTTCGATTCCCACATGCATTGGGGGTGAGTGCTGCGAATTGCAATGCTGCTGCTTGCCACAAGCGGATGTCGCATGTCCGAAGCCCTAGTTCATTTGAACTGTGGCGCGTGTTGCGATATTCAATGGGCTAAAAAGGAAGAGAACTTCAAAAAGTTTCAGTTTTCGAAAATATATGTAAAATTGAAAACTAGAATTACGATAATCTACTAATATGCAGCATATGTAAATTTATAAACAATTACTTTACAAAATCTGATTTAATTTCGAAAATCTCTTTCGAGCTTAAAATGGATTCGACTTACGCAAATGAAGAATAGAGTTCAAATAGTCTAACTGTTCGAGCTTATATAGGAATCCTATATCAATTGATATTCACACAAGCATTTTAAGTTCTGATAGTCCACATCATCATCATTGCATCATTACATAATTATTATACCCTGAACCCATTTTCAATGGGAAATCAGGGTATAATGGTTTTGTTGAAATGTATGTAACAGGCAGAAGGAGGCGTGGCAGACCCCACAAAGTATATATATTCTTGATCAGGGCGACGAGCTGAGTTGATTTGGCCCTGTCCGTCTGTCTGTCCGTCTGTCCGTCTGTCCGTCCGTCCGTCTGTCCGTCTGTCCGTATGTATGAACGCGTCGATTTCAGAAGATATAAGAGCTAGAGACTTCAAATTTCCGTAATTACAGCGCGCATATCAAGTTTATCATTAAAAATCGATAACTCATCTCGATCTTTTTTTATCGATAAAAAACCTTATCGAAATCCAGTTATAAAATTATATCTTCTACACCTTTATTGCTAGAGTCTCCAAATTTTTAATGTATGCCTATATGCAATTTATACAATTTCGGTTTTTGTTAAAATTTACCCCCGCCCTTAAATTCACCCCCTCACCCTAACTTTTGTAAAAAGCGTATTTCAAATACTAGAGACTTGTGCTTTGGCAATTACATGCATATCCATGTCATAATCATAATCTGAAAGTTTCATGAAGATCGTACGTCCACAAAAAAGTTATTAAGCAATTAAGTTCTCATAGTAAGCGCACACTGCCGCCCATGCGTGTTTATGTTTGTGTGTGTATATGTATGTTATTGTTTGTGTATGTGTGTGTGTGTGTATGTGTGTGTGTATGTGTGTATATATGTGTGTGTATGTATGCCTGTGTGTGCGTGTTTCTTGTGTAAGCTGAAAGACGCGAAAAATTATTGAAATAGCTATTACTCCAAGGGTTCAGGGGATCTCGTAGTCGAGTAGTCTCGACTAGAGCTTTCTTACTTGTTTTAGCTATAAGTTGGAGAAATATTCGATATACATATATGTAAGATTATTTTTCATATATATAAATATGTATACAGCATAGGTATATATGTATACATCTGCATGTACAAATTCACAATGTCAATGTCTATTCATTCACAGTTGCTTTGCTAGGCTAGGCAAGGCCAGGCCAGGCCCAGCAAGGCCTTAACTTAATTAGACGCAAATCAACAGAAATCAACACACAGAAATCAGAAGCGCCATTCATTGGTTCATTCATTCACTTAGTCATTCATTCATTTAGCAGCTGAGATATGGTCCCGGGGGTGGCTGGATCTTTAAAAGGGTCTTTAAGAGGCTTCGCCTGTTATAAATCCATCAACTGTTTACCGCACAGCAGCAGCAGGAGCAGCAGCAAGAGCAGGAGCAGAAGGAGCAGCAACAGCAACAGCCGCAATCACTTTGAATGTCCGTTTCAAGTGTGGTTAAGCGTTTGTGGAGTGGGAGCCACTGCCAGAGGAGGAGACAGAAGTTGAGTCCGTGTAGTAGCCATTACGTTTATCACATCAGCTCATTTCTGCCCACACATTGTGTGTGTGTGTGCGTATGTGCGTGTGTGTGTGTGTGTGCTACACCCGCATATTTTAATAGCCAAGTAGCTCCTGCTCAAGCAGCAACTGAAGTTGTTTTTTCGTCGTTGCTAGCTGCAGCTCCCCAGCTCGTTGTTTGCTTTTCTCTAAGCGCAAACAATGGGCCCCCAAAGTGTACCAAAAGCAGAGCCGCAAAAGAAATTGCCATTTATCTATTATTGACTCTGCCACTGGGGCACAGCTCAACTCCTTTCCTCATACCGTCTCTCTCTCTCTCTCCCACTCTCTCGTTCTCGGTTGCTCTGTCTCTCTTTTGCAGTGCGCCGCGGTGGCCGCACATTGTCAAAGCAAGCGCATCAAGTGGTTGCCTCGTCATGCCGCATGCCACATACCGTGAACTGGCCCAAAAGGCTGATTCTAGCTTGGCTCATTCTAGATTTTATATAAAAAATATTTTATGTTTAAGTTTAATATAAAAAGCATATAAATTATATAAAATAATTATATAAATAATATAAATAAATATATATATAGTATACTCTAAAAATAGCTTAGACTTATAAAAATACAAAAAATGAAAAAATATTTATAAAATTTTTAAATAAATTTTATGATATATGATTTACAAATTTCATATAATTTTTATCATACATTTTCATCTTATATATTTTTTTTAGTTTTTTTATTTTTATTTCTTTCTTTATTTTTTTTTATATTTATTTTAATTTTTTTATTATCATAAATTTTCATCTTATATTTTTTTAATTTTTATTTATTTATAATTTATTTTTATTTTATTTATTTATTTACTTTTATTTAACTAGCTTTTTCATCTACCTTAGCTACATCAGCTCATCTTTTAGTTCTCCCTATTCGAAACCTCTTCAACACCTGCTCAATTTCTGTTCTCGATCATTAAAACATTTTCCCCCATTCTTTTCCACTTAGTATAAGTTCCATCTTTCTTAATAGTTAATGTCAAGCTAAGCACATTTTTCGCATCTCTATGTCAGTTCTTAATGATTGCTGCTCCTTTATTTAAATGCTCTAACTACTCCGTAAATTCACTTTCCAATTTACGGTATTTCATGCCCGCATAATTTAAGCAAACGCATTTGAAAGTCAAGCGTTGACAGCAGAAGAAAAGAATATAAAATGAGGCAGAAAAGTAAAATTAAATAAAAATAAAAGTTCAACTCGAGCTCAAACTTGTTGCTGCCGCTGCGGCCGTTGTTGATTAGAAAGTGAAATGACGTCATGCGTTATAGAGCTAGCCTGATTTCAGTGTGATTTGGCCAATCAAAACGAGCTACACCCACACACCCACACACACACGAGCATACAAAAGAGGTGGAGTCTGTGAGGCAGAAAGAAACAAACAGAGCAAAAAAAAAAAAAAATCACTTGTAGCTTTTATATCCTTGAACAAATTTATCTCGCTACGCACACTTGATAAATACAATTGAATATGTATGTAGCTATCTATCTACTCATGTGTGTGTGTGTGTGTTCTGTCTCTGTCTGCTGGCTATAAAAGGCGCTGGCCGTGCGACAGGATCTCGCAGTTGCCGTTGCGTTTCGATTGCGCATACGACGCGTGTGCTAAAACATTGTGAATTTGTGAAGAAGTGCATTAAAACTAAATTGGATTACCATTGATTATATAAGCAGATATATATTGAAAGCTATATAGTTATATCGAGTATGAGTGCATCGGGCAAGAGTCTTTTGGGCCTGTGGCTATATCGCAGCGGTGAGCAGGAGTGGGCCGTCAAGCAGGGCAGTCCGCTGCACACTCCCCTCAAAAAGGACTCCAACTCATCCCCGTCCCCGTCGCCGTCCACCACCTCGTCCTCGTCTCATGCCACTCTCTCACGGCACGCCTCCGCGCCAGGTGACAACTTCCTCTTGTTCTCCAACAACAAGCAGGCTGGCGCCACCGATGCAGTGCAGCGCTCGCATGTGCCCGGCGAGCGCATCTCCATTTTGTTCACTCTCAAGAATCAGGTGGGCAATCTGGCACGCGCTCTGCAGGTCTTCCAGGAGCTGGGCATCAATGTGCTGCACCTGGAGCTGTCGCCCCTGGAGGTGAGCAGCAATCAGGCGGATGTCCTGGTGGATGTCGAGTGCGATCCACGTCGCTTGGATCAGGTGGTGAAGATGCTCAATCGCGAGGTGGCATCGGTCAACTATACGTCGGTGAATGCTCACAGCTTGGCCCGGGCACCGTCTCTATCCGCCTGCTCCAGCTTTGGTGAGTAGCAATTGGAAGTGATTAAAGAGAGATTATCGAAAGGTGCCACTGGCAAGCGAGGATTGCTATTTATAGAGATTTGTTATATTTTATTGAATCGTTTATAAAGTGAGCTAAGCTGAGATTCATAAAAAAACAGCCAATAGATCTTAAATTCGCTGAAGACTCACAAAATACAATTAATGAAAGCGTTAAAATAATGCATTAGTAGTTTATATCAATGCATTAGCCAAAGTCACAGACTGTGTTCTATGTGGGCGTGGCTATGCAAATTAAGTGAAAGCCTTATTCTTTAGTGAAGTTTGAATCACAGAAAACTATTTCAAGTAAACTGCAACTAAAGAAATTTTATGTATAATAAAACTAGAACTATCCCATCTTATAAGCTATACAAATTAGAGATCCCAAACAGAAACCAATTGACAACTGATACAGCTTAGACTCTGACCTACCTCTATCATTTAAGTTGCCATAGAGATAAGGCATTTCTATATTATCTATCAAGTTTGCATCAAGCTACCAAAATCATGAACTTGAAAACAAAAATATCAAATCACAGACTATTTACTGACTGAGGCTCTAAAACTGTTCTTTATTATTTATTCATTTATTATATTATATTTTCTGATTTTTAGACATCTATAACTGATAAAGAACTAAGAATTTGTTGTAAGAATGTTAGACCTCCTCAGCCGTAACTTATTTAGTAAATATATTAATCAAAGTTTTAGCATATAGTTAAAAGATTAAACAAATCCCCAATACATTTCTGCAACAGACTTTGGTGACATGGTTTGGTTTCCGCGCAAGATCTCCGACCTGGATCAGGCACAGAATGTGCTCATGTATGGCTCCGAGCTGGATGCTGATCATCCCGGCTTCAAGGATCCCGTCTATCGCAAGCGGCGCGAACAGTTCTCGGCCATAGCCAACAATTTCAAGCAGTAAGGCAGCTCTCTAATATATTTCACATTCAGTTTCAAACTGCTTTCTCCCTCTCCCCCTCTCTCACTGCCTTAGTGGCAATCCCATACCTCGGGTTCAGTATACGCCGGAGGAGGTAAAAACTTGGTAAGTGCAAATTTAATTCAATTTTAACTATTTTTGTTTATGTTTGGCAACTTTGTTTTGCGTGTATGTATGTGTGTGTCTGTGTGTGTGCATGTTTTAGGGGCACTGTTTTCTTGGAGCTGCATCGCCTGTATCAGCTGCACGCGGTGCCGGAGTACATGGAGAACTGGCCGGAGCTGGTCAAGTTCTGTGGCTATCGGGAGGACAACGTGCCCCAGCTGCAGGACGTGAGCAGCTATCTGAAGCGTAAGACGGGCTTCCAGCTGCGTCCCGTTGCGGGCTACCTCTCGCCGCGCGACTTTCTCTCCGGGCTGGCCTTTCGCGTGTTCCACTGCACGCAGTACATCAGGCACTCCTCCGATCCCTTCTACACACCTGAGCCGTAAGTGCGCGCGAGTGTGTGTGTGTGTGTGTGTGTGTGAGTGTGTTTGTTTGTTAATTGTGTTATCAATTTCCAGAGATTGCTGTCACGAACTTTTGGGTCACATGCCGCTGTTGGCCAACTCGAGCTTTGCTCAGTTCTCACAGGAGATTGGCCTGGCTTCTCTAGGCGCCTGCGATGCGGATATTGAAAAGTTAGCCACGGTTAGTTGAACATTGAATACACCGGTTCGATACTTCTTCGTTATCTGCTCTTGTTATCTCCTTTACAGCTCTACTTTTTCACCGTGGAGTTTGGCCTGTGCAAGCAGTCGGAAGGCACCTTCAAGGTCTTTGGCGCCGGCCTGCTCAGCTCGGTGGCGGAGCTGCAGCACGCCATAACGGCACACGACAAGATTAAGAAATTCGACCCGGAGATAACCTGCAAGGAGGAGTGCATCATAACATCCTATCAGAATGCCTATTACTATACCGATTCTTTCGAGGAGGCCAAGGAGCAAATGCGGTAGGCAGACTCTGCTCATATACGAAACTCTGCTTTAGCCATACCTTCTCCCCCTCCTCCACAGTTCCTTTGCCGAGAGCATTCAGCGACCCTTTGGCGTGCGCTATAATCCCTACACGAGCAGCGTTGAGGTGCTCTCCAATGCACAGAAGATAACCGCCGTGGTCAGCGAGCTAAAGGGGGATCTCAGCATCGTCTGCGCTGCGCTGCGTAAGATCTCGGCCACGGATGAGAATCTCGACGTGGACAGCATAGCAAATATGCTGCACAAGAGTCTCAATGTGCGTGCCGCTGGATCAGGAGGCGGCAACAGTCCAGATAATACCGAGAACTATATAGCTGAGGGCGACTAAAGAGCGAGCAGAGAGAGAGAGAGAGAGGGAGATGGGAATCGAAGTGAAAACGTTGTTGGGACCATAAGCTATATATACCAGATGTTACAAAAATATATACAAACAGATAAATCTCTATATATATACACATATATCGATGTCTAAATGTTTGGCAAATACTAACTTTATTTCAACTTATGCCTAATAATTACATCTTAGCTCTAAAAAAAAACTTAAATAAATTTCAACTCTTTGTGTGTCTTAGTCAAGTTTTAAATGGTTTTAGTAGGGGAGGAGATGGAAAGCCTTTGCGTTGTTGTTGTGGCAAATTTAAGTTATATTCAGCATAACAAATTCTTTTTAGGGTAAAAAACAACTTTTTCAGACTGAATCTAAATTCCATTTCAGATCATATAATAAAACATTCGTATATGAACACATGTCCTAGGTTGATCGTAAATTAAAATTATTAATCTAAAAGATTCGGGAATGCTCTTCAAAGTAAAAGATAAGGTCAACCAAATATAAAATGTTCTAAATATATCCTTATGATAAATAGCCAAAGAAGCTCGATAATGATAAGTTTATTTCGTGAATCTTCATATAAAATATATATATATATATATTTTTTTTTTTCATTTTAAGCTTTACCTATTTGTAAACAATAAGTAAGCATTAACTAGATTTTGAAGCAGTCATTCCTCTGCCTATGATAAAGTAGTCTGATTTAAACAGAAATTAAACTTAAAGACTCGCAATTGCACAAGTTTGAATGAGTTTATCATATAAGATCTAGATTGTTGGTCATATATGTAACTGACTTCTATATGATAAAGTTAATCGATTCGATCAGCTTTTATATATGCTACGCTGGCAGCCAAATGCCGTCGCTGTACAAAGTTTCATCAGCTTAGCTGCCCGCAGAGTCGAGTTCCGATAGGCGGAGAGGCAGACCGTCTATATAGGGACTATATGTATTGGGCGATTTCTCTGCCCTTGGGTGTTATACAATTCGTTAAGTATACATAATAACCAATTCTAGGGCATACATAGTTACGCCTAAGCAGTTCGAAGCGCCCTCGAGCTATTTGTAGATCATATCACAGTCGCTGTTTAGAAAGAACTTTCGGCTGATGTAGCTGGACGTGTACTCCAGCAGCCAGTTGGGTATGGTCCAGACGGTGAAGCTGAGCGCCAGCTTGCGCCACTGCGCCACAATGTGGGGCACGTCGTACAGCCAGCTGCAGCGATTGCCCATGCGGCTGGTCACCTGGTTGGTCACTTTGCTGGTGACGCCGCGCACCACGTCGCCTGCCAGGCCCGTGACGCTGACCTTGCGCCTGCGCTTCGACTTGGGTGAGCCGCTGTCCTCCTTGAGCGAACGTCGCGATCCTCGATGCTCCAGCTCGTTCTTCATCTCGACGCGTGGCGCAATCTGTATGCGATCGACTGTATCACAGATTTCCTCATTGCTTATCAGAATGCCAGCAACGATATACATCAGCTTAAATACTCTGCAATGAGCCGGAAGTGGAACAGAGATGGAGAGAGAGTGAGAGTGCGAGTGAGAGTGAGAGTATTAGCATTCGACTATCTGTGTACATGTTCAGTTCCTTTAGTGCTCACCTCACTGTATGGGAAATCATCGCAGCGCGACGAGTTCAAAAGTTGCAATGCGACTTGATTTCTAATTTTTTTTGCGTGCACTAAGCGCGGCGACTTATCAGTCAGGCGATTATATAGCGCTATATTTGTGTATATATTTAAAATATATACTATACTATGTCTTTTTTCGGTTTTTATGGTGTGCTTTAAAGGCTGTTTTACACTTTTTGTAGAATTTTATGATGTTGAGTCTTTTGGTTTTTAGGTATTATTCATTTATATGCATATGTGTCTGTGTTGGTAGCACATATAATAATTAATTATATTTATTAATTAATATTTCATATTACTTTGTAGTTCATTTGACAATTTAAAAATTATGATTGATTTAAATTTATTTACTTTTTCACTTGTTCAGATTTTTAATATCTAAGTATATATTTATTTATATTATTTATTATAGTATATTTATTTATATTATCATTATTATAAAATGTACATATATATGTTTTTTAATGTTTTTTGTTTTCGTAAATATTTTATACTCTTATTTTATGACACTTTTAAACCTATTTGCAATTTAGTTTCTTTTAATTTCTATATATTATTCATATTTTTTTTTTTTTTTTCAAAAATCCGTGTATTTTTCTTATTCTTTTTGCTCCTCGTCAACTTTGTATACCGCTCTAGACTATGGCTAAAACTCAACTGAATCAATGCCAGCAATCGCTAGATTTTTGAGCGCTTCGCTCAACCTCAGCTGATAAGCGGCGCAACATGTCTGCGATAAGGCTGGATTTTAATGGTTACCAATGGATTTCTTATGCTCTGAAACATATTATTCTATCTTTATATATATATATATATATTTATATATGTCTATATATATGTTTTGCATTTATATATATATATGTCTATAAATTTTTATTACTTAATGCTTTTCGAGTATCTTTGAGGCAGTCGAGGCCTCCGGCTCTGGCTCTGGCTGGGTCCTCTCTCTGTCGTCAGCTATCTCACACTCTACCCATAGTTATTGATAAGTTGTTATCATTCAACTTGTATATATATCACGGCGTGTATGTGACGGCGTCTAAATAACTCTGCTTGGAAACTACGTAATGCCCGTTTCATTTCGTTTTGTACTTTGGAATCGCTTCGAAAGTCGTGCATGAGTTGCTCAGCGGTTCGTGCTAACGCATTGCTCATAGGATGGAGGGAATTATTGATATATGTATATTTTATTTATTGGAATCTCGCTGATAAGCAAACATCTGTTTACTCGTTAAAGCAAATATATATATAAACATATAAACATTTGTCTAGACATGTTGACTCAAGGCCGAGATTACATCCCAGTTAAGATAACTGGGAACGCACCTTTTATGATCCAATTACAGACATGTAACAGATATCAGTTATTGCCTTAAGTGTTAAACAAATAATAAAAGTAATAAATTGCCCAAAGTGTTGAATAAACACTAGTTTAATTTCAAAGGAAATATATTAAAAATATATTTATATTTATATATATGAATATATTATGTAACGATTGCTCAACCGAACTTAAATGCATGTGGAACGCATGTGCTTACTCGTAGTGGTTTGTGTACGTGATAAAGGAAACACAAGCTAAAGATTTAGCAAAGACAACAACCTTCGGTATGTGTGAAACAGCGCACTTGCGCCATCTGTGTTTCAATAAATTTATTCACGTGAAAACTGATAAATCAGATTATCAATTCTAGCATTAAAAATTTAATTCCAAACTCAAGCCGATCTCAGGTCATAAGACGTTACTGGTGCTGCTTATAATTCAGCTCTAAAAAATTTTCTTGAATAAAAAAAGAAAATTAGTAACTTGGAAAAATGTTCTGCTATTATTTAAGATTTCTTTACAATTCATCTGTGAAATCGTATCATATTGATCTATATGGGCATTACTAACTACCAACTTTGTATTTTTTTAGTACACGATTTGGATGAGCTATACCTATTAGATATTATTCTTTGGCATATTTACAAATTTCATTGATCTTTAAAAGGAGAGAAAGACAATAGAAGGAAAATAACAAAAAAAAATTTTTTAAATTATACTACATAATTTTTTAGCCATCTATCTATTACATTCTACAGTATTTGCTACCTAATCTCTATTATAGACTAGGCTTGCCATTTTTTATATTATTTTATACTATATTACTTTAGTTTCACTTCATAAATTTGTCATTCATTGCTCTCCTGATTCTATTCTTAACTTGTCAATTTAATTTTTGACATTTTACCAATTCGCAATCATTGAAGACTTAGCCAGCTATTTAATTAGTTAAATAATCATTACATAATCACCTGCAAGCTATTTAAGCAAGTTCTACCGACTCCTTCTAGCGGAATTCAACTCCTTTCAGCTTCGCACTTCCAAAAATCGAGCAATTAAAGTGTTTATTTAAAGCCAATCACGTTTGTGTGGCAGGCAAAGAGCATTTAATTTGTTAACCTGATATATTTGCAACATAATTGACTCAAGTTGCCACACACTCGCACACACACACACACACACACACACATATCCTATCCTTAGCTGGAAATTCTTAAGCCAAAATCAAATAAACACAAACACATACTCAGACACACATGGAGAAAGAGTAAGAGAGACTTTTCACACATAAATTATGTAGCCGTCCGGTTGGCTGCCACGCCCAACCACACACACACGCCCCTTTGCCTCAGCTTGTGGACCGGAATTGTCCGGCTGTTGGTCTACGAGACTTGATGCGTTGTAAAACAAGATTATTTACAAATGCACAAACCACAGAATCTTAAACAAAAAGCCAAAAGGCCACTCAACAAGCGGCAACAACAGCAACAACAACAACGACAACAACAACTGCAAGACAACAAGAAAAACAATTTTCACACAATTTTCGAGAGCAAAAATTGAGGCAGAGCTGAGTGAAGGCGAAGGAGCTGAAGCAGCAGCAGCAGCAGCAACAGAAGGCGGAGACGAAGGAGGTGGAAAAATAAATGTGAACAAAGCCAGCAGCAGCAGCAGCAACAACAACAACGACAACAATAACAACAGCAGAGCAGCCATAAGTAGCACACACACACACACACACAAAGACTGAGGGAGTGTCTAGGCAGTCAGACAAGTCTGAGTTGTGCTAAAAGGTATTCCCCAAGAATGTCGACGGCAAAGTGCCAGACCAGACAGCAGCTCACACACACACACAGGCAGAAGCTGCTACACAATACACACACAAACAATACTGTTAAGTCCAGAGAGAGCGAAAGAGAGCGAGCGAGCAAGCGGAGCGGGGCGGAGCTGAAGAACTTATTGTTCGCATCGTCTTGGAGCAGGAAGCGGCAGCAACAACAGCAGGAGCAGGAGCTGGAGCAGCAGACGACCTTGACACACAATTGTACCACAATTGCCACAAAGAGACAGAGACACAACAGGGCAGCAGCAGCAGCAGTGAGAGGGAGCTAGCAAGTTGGCAAGAGAGTGAGGCAGATGCCAAGTGGAAGCTAAGCAAATGCTCAGTCAAGTGTCCATTGGCTTGGCCTTTTGAAAAATGATTCCAACTGCTACAGCACTGGCCACATGCCGCATGCCACATGCCACACACACACACACACAAGTCAAGCGTGCTGCAAGGCCAGTGGTCAGTGGCCAAGGACTGGCTGCAGCTTCTTCTTCTTCTTGGTTAATTGGCTGTGTGTTGGCTTACAAATTTGTTGTCTGCTGCAAAGGAGCAGGCCGAGTCCTTGCCGAGTCCTTGTGCGTGTGTGGCTGTGTGTGTGTGTGTTGCACATGCAGATTTGTGCTGTGCGACGTCTTGCCACTTGCTGCATGTTTATTGCAGCATGCATCAAGGCGCCAAGCTCAGCCCCTGCTGCAGTTGCTCTGCTCCCTCTACATCTCTCTCTCTCTCTCTCTCTCTCTGTCCCCCTGCGTGTGTGTGCGGCGTTTATTGCTTGAAGATTTGTTAAGTGTTTGGGCACACACGCACCCAAGGGACACTCAGACTGAGGCTGGCAGGCAGCATGCCACATGTTGCACGAAAGTGTCTCAATTTAAGTTTAAAGCGTGAACCGTTCTGCATATGAAAAAGGGAAAAGCGCTTAATAAATTGCCAAGAACAAACAACAACAAAAAAACACTACAAATTGGTAAATTGAAAATTGAAATACGAAAATAATGGAAAATGCATAAAAAAGTGCTTGGAAGCAAAAGTAAATCGAGCGGGGCGGAGGCGTGGCAAGGGCAGCAAGGTGTTGCGCCTGAATATGATATATGATAGAAGTAAATGGAGTTGGAGCTGGAGCAGGAGTTGGAGTTGGAGCTAAGAGCCGAAGCAGGTGGTGCTAGCTGGTGGCAAGTGAGAGCAGACACAGCAGAGGAAATAATGGCAACCGCTAAGCATTGGTGGGTGGTGGTTACTCTCTCTGTGTGTGTGTGTGTGTGCAAATATTGAAATGCTCGAGCCACCAAAAACAGCCAAAAATATGTACGTAGGGACAAAGAAAACTAAACAACAGCAGCGACGCTGGCAGCGACGCGACGTCGCAACGTCAACAACGACAACAATAACTGCGGATGGTCAAGAAGAAGCGGCGGCTGCTGCTGCGGCTGCTGTCGCTGATTAAACGCGGTGGTGGTTGCTGCCACATGCCACATGCCACGAATGCGTCGCGAGGTGTTGCTCAGCTGAAGGACACACACACAGACACACACACTGGCGCACACAAGGCAGGAGACGACGTGTCCAGACAGCAGCCAGAGGCTGAGGTGGAGACAGAGCCAACGGCAGAGGCACAGACCCCGACTCCTGCCCGCGGCCTCCGTTACTCCTCCTGCTGCTCCTGCTGCTGCTGCTGCTCCTGCTGCTCCTGCTGCTGCTGCTCCTGCTGCTGCTGCAGTCAAGTGTAGCTGGTTGGCTGGCGCTTGGTTTGAGTCTCGGGTGCAGCTTCAGCTCCAGACAGACGACGACTGAACTGGGAACTGGGAACTGGGAACTGAAGTTGGAACTGGAGCTGGAACTGTTAGCTGAAGCTCGACTAGAATTGAGATTGGGTTTAGCATTTGAGCATTTGACTTGGGGTTTGGGTCTTGTAGCAACATTTCCGACGTTTCATACAAAGCAACAGCAAACTGCAGATTGCAAAAAATCAACTAGAAAACTGTCTGCTGCCCGCATATTTGTTGGCCTCACACACACACACTCACACCCACACAGACATGCATGCATATATTGTATATAAATACTGGCGGTTGCTGTCCGGCTTTGCGCGGACTAGACTGGCTTAAATCTTAAATCATTTCTAAGCAATTAAAGG